TTTTACCTGAATGAACTTTAAAAAAAATTTCAGTGATTTTTTATGAGAGAATGACTTGATTGTCCTGATATTTCTACCACGTCGCACTCCCCAATTGGAAGTGGAAGTTTATATCCCTTACCAGTTGGCGCCGCACGCATTGCGCGCGCAACACAGATCTGTGGCGAATTTTGATGGTGCGACGAAAAATTTCAAATTTGGCTTGATACAATACGAATATCTGAATTCTCCGCTAAATTCTATGCGCTCTTTCTTCGTCAACCATTATCCTATTTTTCTCGGTCCTCGGCCCGGACAATAAATCTCGTGGCGAACTCCGTCTACTTCGGTGCGTGCCCTGCCGACCAATAGCATTTGGCTCCCTTCTTTTCGCCGACCTCTACCCCCTTTTTCACCGGTCTCTGGGACCTCTTGGAACCAAATTACGACACTTTTGGCAAACTCCGCCCACTTAGGTGCGTGCTCTACCCAGTGATAGCAGTTGAGCTCTTTTCCCTCACCAACCTCTAACCCCGTTTTCCCCTATCTCTAGGACCTCTTGCAACCGAATTGCGATACTTTTGGCAAACTCCGCCCACTTGGGTGCGTGCTCTACCCACTAATAGCATTTGACCTCCTTTCCTTCGCCGACCTCTACTCCCTTTTTCCCAGCCTCCTGGACTTCTTGGAGCCGAGTTATGAATTTTCGTCGCAAACTCCGCCCACTTTGGTCAAGCCCCGCCCACCATGGCCTTTGACCTCCACTCCTCCACCCACCTATATCCACCTTTTTCCCCAGCCTCCGGACCTTCTGGAACCGAGTTATGAATTTTCGTCGCAAACTCCGCCCACTTTGGTCAAGCCCCGCCCACCGATGACAGCTGGCCTCCACTTCCCCCACCCACCTCCATCCACCTTTTCCCCAGCCTCCGGGACTTCATGGAGCCGAGTTATAAATTTTCGTCGCAAACTCCGCCCACTTTGGTCAGGCCCCGCCCACCAATGACAATTAACCTCCACTCCTCCACCCACCTCTATCCACCTTTTCCCCAGCCTCCGGAGCTTCATGGAGCCGAGTTATAAATTTTCGTCGCAAACTCCGCCCACTTTGGTCAGGCCCCGCCCACCAATGACAGCTGGCCTCCACTCCTCCACCCACCTCTATCCACCTTTTTCCGGCTCTTTAGGACTTCCCCGACCCGAATTATGAGGGCTTGTAGAAAATGCTGTACACTTCAGAGCGCGCCCCGCCCATTCTGGGCAGGCCTCCGCCCACGTCATGTATGCAGGAAACACCTTAGACATTGCTCCCTTACACCAAATTGTTTTCTGCTCTGTAGGCTTTCTCCCAACCGAGTTATGAAATTTTTCATAAAGCACTGCTTTTTTAGAGAACGCCCCGCCCCCGGGGGTGGGTCTCCCTAATTCGATGTTACTTACCAATGCACACCTTTACCCACTTTTTGGCCCAGTTTCGAGGTCGTTTTGTCACTGAAATCGAAATCTTGGTCTTTGGTACAATTCATTTCGACGCACGCCACGCCCTCTGTGGGCGGGGCTCCGCTTAGCTGATGTGTGTTTTGTATTACGTGAGACCTTGCCCACCCATCCCACACTTGACCCGGTCCCTCCAGGCGGATCCCGAGGAGCTAGGGAATTTCGTGACAGACATACAGACAGACGACAGACGACAGACGACAGACGACACACGACAGACGAAGACGCTTTCATAGTTAGTAGGATAAGAACTTGCAAACTGCAAATATAGGGACTTTTATTTTTTATTTATACTGAGAAATTAGATATATTATTCAAGCAAAAATTGAAATAGCGGCCACGAAACCTGAAGCTCAGTAGATCCGAGATCTCTTTTAGCACTTCCACCAGCATGCATAGCATCTAGGATCTTTGTGTTATTACTTTCGCAATCTTTCCTCCCCATCTGGTTTCGCGTTTTGTTCTCTAGCTTTACATCTTTTCATTTCCATGGTAGCACATGTTCACCAACCTTTGAACCTTACGCCACCCGTGATTCTATTCGCTCTGTATTTTATTTTTTTGTTTACTATTTCAGTTTTTTTTTTTTCATGTTTTGTTCTGCTTGGCAAATGAAGCCATCAAAATCACGAATAGTAAGCCGAGGAATAAGAGTAATAAGCCAATGAGCGCATTGAAAAAGCACTATTACACCTGACGGTGTTGCAGGGCTGGTCTTACCAAGATCTCTGAAAAGATCTACGTCGTTCTGACGTAGCTGAAGAGCGAGGTTGGTAGGAAATTTTTTGAAAAAGTACTACAATAGCCTAACCGTGACATGTAAAAGCGCGAAATATGCGAGTCGCACAATGCTATGCAAACGTTATTGGAGAAATGAGAATTTCATTACAAAAATCTTGACCGTGTCAGTCGTAAGGTGGGCGGAAGTGGTGTAGTGGCAAGTGGCACGCTTACCACGCGAGCGGTCCGGGGATCAAATCCTGGGTCGTGAGTCGCCCGGGCCAACCAAGCCTTCCATCCCTCCGGGGTCGGTTAATTGGTACCAGACTTGTCTGGGAGGATAAAAACACTGACTTGTACATCCCGCAAGTCATTGTATAGGCCACATCGCATTCAAACGCCACTACGAATGTACAAATGGAAGTAGAATGCGTGCCGCATCCCAAAAAGGGATTGATCAACGGCAAATGCTTTATCCTTTTTTTATCCATTTCAAACAGTTCCTTCCTGGCACCACTAGACATCCTTCCAACTCACATATCCATTGCACAGAAGGAGAATAGTGCGTGGCATTCAGTCGAACTCGCTCACGGACCTACCGTGCACTTGACAGCGGCGTGAGTCGTGGTTTCATCAACTTTTGAACAGGCTGCGGCTGCTCTGATATTGCTGACCCGGCACTAACGACTAGCTCCCCCCTCCCTATCAATGAATGCTAATTATTAGCGACACCCTCATTCGAGATTCGTAAACACACGCTTGACCCTGATATGAAGACTTCTCCAGTCGCAGTACTTGCTCTTCTGCAAGAAGGGTAACCGACAAACTGTCGAGCGTTGGCATCATCTAATAAATAGTCATCTGGTATTTTCCGTTCTCAAAATATTTACAAAAAGGGTAAGGAAGTGGAACTTCCAAACTACCCTAATCCTTCTTTCTTTGGATGAAATTTCAAAACTATGTCGATGCACCTCCACAGTTACGATTTATCATAAGAGCAGCATCAAATCGACACTCAAGCAGTGACATATAGCACGGGTTAACGAATGGTAAGTTCGGGCTCAAGCAAAACATCAATCAATCGATCAAACATGACAATATTAATCAAAAAAGAAAAGGGCAACGAAAATGACGACAAGTGTCCTATGTTCATCAAGAGATGCGCGTGATACATTCATTAACAAAAAAGAAAAAGTAATATCGAAAAGCGATAATAGTGAAATCGTTCATGTCCGATTATCAAATCGAGTACCACAAGTCGCAATGATATCTCTACACTGGAAACGCTGGACAAACACAAACAACTAGCGTTACTTATATTGTTTATCGCTATCGATACTAAACAATTACTAACGATCTCCTTTGCATGCCCGCATATTTTCGGGGCCCACAGTATAAAAACGGATCATATCCATAAAATTAAATATTCAGCCGTTTCTTACAGTAGATCTTGAGAATATTCATATTCATAAAGAAAGAAAATCACAGTTAATGGTACCAATAGAAAGAGAGAAAATATCGAAATATCGAACACACGCCAACAGATCGACAGATGATCGTGGCAGGCAACAAAGGAAGCGTTAATACCCAAACGTTTACAGTCTACCTCACCTATTACTCAGAGTGAACTAGAACATTCGTTTCTATGAGTATTCAGATGGCAAGGACAAACTCACACAAGATAGACTGCATTAGGAAACCAAGTTCGGCAAAATGATCAATTTAAGTCGTCACATACAATAATTTACATTATAGTGCAACCCAAAAAGCCGAGTTACGGAAGGAACTGAAAACTATAGAAGTCTGAGGCAAATGAAAAAATGTCACAAAATGTCGTACCATGAGCGAGAACAATAATAGGACAAGTATCGATTGATATTGATTCACGGGTTGCACCACTTGGAGCCGTTTCTTTGCTTCTTCACTGGGATTCTTAGCTTACTCGGCTTACTCGGCATGGAATCGGTTTTCCTGAAAGGAAATGCCATTTATTTCGGGGTTGCAAATTCGCTATCACAATTGTTGATTCAATCCAGAGCTTCTTAAATTCTTCATAACAGCCTGGAACTTACACAGTCAACCTGGCATGAACCGGAGAAGTGCAAACTTTTGACCTTATAATATTCAAACCTTCATTGATGGAACCTTTGCCTTCTTCGTCACTTCAGAAGCAAATATAACCTTGAGTCGCTCACGTTATGAGCTCAAACTCGATAGCAATGCGGTAGGTTTCTGCAACTTTCACCACAGGCAGGAGGGAATTGATGTAGTGATGAGCGGCGCCGTGTACCACACGCGTAGTATGAGGAACAAATTTCGGTCCTGCGCTGTCTACGTCATCCAAACCTCTTCACTCTTCTGGGATCGTATGTGTTACCAGACTTGTTCGGGGAGACAAGACACTAACTTGTAGACCAACTGATTGGTGCCCGCAATTCATTGTATAAAAAATCGCAACCGAATGTCATTTCTATTCTGGATACAAGAGGATAGCGTGGCGCATAGGGAGGCACGGTGCACTTACTTTGTATTCTGTTCTATGGGCTTGCAACTGCCGGGATAAATAAAGGATAAAAGGATAAAGCATTTGCCGTTGATCAATCCCTTTTGGGATGCGGCACGCATTCTACTTCCATTTGTACATTCGCAGTGGCGTTTGAATGCGATGTGGCCTATACAATGACTTGCGGGGGCCAGCCGATGTACAAGTCAGTGTTTTTATCCTCCCAGACAAGTCTGGTACCAATTAACCGACCCCGGAGGGATGGAAGGCTTGGTTGGCCCGGGCGACTCACGACCCAGGATTGATCCCGGACCGCTCGCGTGGTGAGCGCGCCACTTGTCACTACACCACTTCGCCGGAGGGGGACTAATAGGATAGGTAATGTGGGGGAAAGACATGAGTGTTAGTCCCGTCTTTGATATGCTTCTATCTCTTCAAATCATAATATACTAGGTTGAAACACAAATCAGGAAGACGCTGACCATCACATTCAGACGGTCAGCCTTTGATGTAGCCATGGAAGTGGGGGTGGGGAAGGGGAGGGGGGAGCGTAGCAACTTGATATTGGCGAAAGAGGGGGCAGTAGTTTCGCTAGTGTTTCTGGGGAGCATGCGTACGATTTTCAGTATGCATTTTCATTAAAGCAACAGTCCCAGCAGGGTGGGCGTGGTCGGAAACGACTGCAATCCCCTCGGCCGATTCCGACCACGCCCACTTCAGCTCCCTCCCTAGCGGCTTTCCAAGGTGAGTTTTTGTTCAGTCACACTTCTTACGTTCTTGACTAGGGGCTGAACAGCTCCGAAGTGGGAATCGGCCGAGGGGATTGCAGCCGTTTCCGACCACGCCCACCCTGCTGGGACTGTTGCTTAAGCAGGAGGAGGGAAGCAAGTTTAGCAGAAGACCTAACCAAGCGCCAACTTTTCAAGAAAAAAGGAGCGAAATGAACGAAGGCGGAATTTACGATTGGAGAGTTTATATCAAGATAGAGGAGATCAGTGGTGCCGATATGAAGAAAAAATCACGAGAAGCTCCCAGGAACCGAGAAATGGGAGCCCTCCTTAACCCGTTATTTCCGCATTGATGCAACTCTCATTGGTGCTGCCCTCTTCAACGCTAACGCTCTCTCTTTGCTAAACGACTAGAGACTGCGGCGAGTGGTTGGCAGTCGTGGGCGTGCCGCGTTGATAGCGCCGCGGGGCGCCATGCTAGGTCGCCGGGGCATTCAATTCTGCGAATTGCGTGTCGGTCCGCACCCTTGAGGGTCCACCTGTCTTTCCCTAGGGAAATTTCCCCTTTCTTCACCTTCGACCTTATCGTGGATACTCCTTCAATAATTTTGCACCACAGCAAACCGAAATTAAATCGTTGTTTCTCTTCTAAACAAAAACATAAAAAGGACGTCACTTAAGCTAATGGTAAGGAAGAAAGTTATAGCGCAGCCAAGTTTTTCGCGAAGCTACCGAAGCTAATTCGTACAAAAACTTTTTGGATCCAACCTGTTGAACCGGGTTGCCGTTCCCAGTGCCATTGCATAGCATTTGCATATCGTTCGCGTCCAGAGTGATATGTTGCAGATCGTTGAAGCACTCGAAATGAGAGCCATTCGTGCCTTCGGGATTCGTCAACACCAATCGCGGAATGTCTAACGACTCGGGTGAGTTAGAAAACGTTCTGAACACATCAACATTAAATGAGATGTACGATAAAAAATGAAAAAAAGCCGCCTCCAAAGTTGGGGTAACTCCTGATCATTGGCATTCATTTAGCCGCTAGGAACACGACTATTTAGTCGGAAGCTGGAATTCAAGGCAAATTGACGTCTCTGTTGACTTATTCTTGCTAGTTCGTTAGTCCTTTCCTAGGAAACTGCTCACAACCAACTCTCTGCGTCTTAGGACCCCTTTCAGAACTGTCCACCCACATTATCAACTATGTCGTCGGCGTACCCTTGCCTAGTCGCTCTTTACAGATACATAGGAAGGTATGTGATGAATGCATGAATACAGGACAACATATGGTGTTTTCAGGCAAACACCCACACAAACACATACTGGACCCTATCGCTCTGGAACTACACTGTAGCTGCATACTGTGAAGAATTCAAACTATTGTAGTCGGATGTGAAGGTAGTGGCAGGGCATACATACAGCATTTGTAGGTGACACCCTCCCATAATCGCGTCCCATAAAAACACTAGAAAGGAAAGTATGGCAAGAATTTCGCCAAAGCAGTTTTCTCCACAAACCCAGTCACTGCTGCACAGTGTTGGGATAAGGACTTCGTCCTGAAACGTAAC